GGGGAGGAGGAGGGAGGCGGGGAGACAATAATTTAGAAGAAGAAAAAAACCCCGGAGATCATCGTGCGATACGTATGAGAAATGTCTGGAGAGGCCATACGTCTTTATAAAAATGACAGGCAAAATACTAGGCTGATTCGCGCCATTAAAGATAACGACAGTTGGTGGGGAGAGGAAACTGTTTCATAGATATTGCTTGGCGTCTGCACATGGTTGCCATTCTTCTTGAGAGGTGAAACATAGGGTGTAGTCGGGAGATGGATCTAAAGTAGATATGCAGATGGGGTATCGCCCAACTCCCCTTTTTCATTGGGATCTATAGTGTGTCCTGCTCATTATCTTTTCTACGTCTCTTCTTACTAACTACCCTTGCGTCTGCCTGTCTGTCTGTCTGTTTGTCTGCCTGTCTGTCTGTCTGTCTGTCTGTCTGTCTGTCTGTCTGTCTGTCGGTCTGTCTGTCTGTCTGTCTGTCTGTCTGTCTGTCTGTCTGTCTGTCTCTCTGTCTCTCTGTCTGTCTTTTAATCTCTTCCTTACCCTATCTCTTTTTCTTTCTTTCTTTCTTTCTTTCTTTCTTCCTTCCTTTCTTTCTTTCGTTTTTTCTTTCTTTCTTTCTCTCTCTCTTTCTTTCTTTCTTCCTTTCTTTCGTTCTTTCTTTCTTTCTTTCTTTTTTTCGTTCTTTCTTTTCTTTCTTTTCTTTCTTTCTCCTATTTCTCTCCCGGAAACACGTGCTAGCTCATTTACGAGAACAAATATAAATAAGCAGTGACATCTTCTAGAACGCTCTACGGTATCTGTTCCTTCTCCTCGTTTTTTCTTCTCATCCACAAACTCCCTCTAACTAGTACATTAAAATCATCATACACAAATAGCGTTCATTCGCCTGTCTGAGGTTTTTGTTATAGATGTACACTATACGCGTTTAAAAGGGGGTAACTCTATGGGTTTTGTACGTTTGTTCATATTTCTGATTATCCTCTTATCTTTATATTCATAAACAGCTAGATCTAGCCATGGAATGTTGTATACGTTCACATCTTTTCTGAACAAACTGTAAGGAAGGCTAAGGGGTTAAGGAATTAGGCGTAGGTATCACAGTGTGCAATCTTCTCTTTGTTTTACTTCTTGTTCCGTGTCCCCTTTTCGGATGCCGTGTTAACGATCTTATTCGTCTCGCGCAATTATTGACAATAAGATATTTACGTAATTAAATAATAAAATACTATTTTAACAACACTAAGAGGGAAAACAGAGATGAGATGTTAACGCAGACTCCTTGACATCTCGTACAAAGACCATGTTTCAAATGCTGAAGTACGAAAGAGAAACACCAACGCAGTGGGACAATATGAAGATCTACTGACCACAGTGAAGAGACGGAAACTAAAATGGTACGGGCATGTCACAAGATTGACAGGACTTGCC